TCTTATCCAACAGTCCCCCTTGCGGCTCATGTCCTCACCCTTCCACTTTCAAACCTCCAACTATCCCACATTTCCAACTTTTCCCTCAAATAACTCGCCCTCCTTCCTTCACCCATCTTTCTTATCTTTTAAGGCTACACCTTTTATAGCCTTTCTTCTTTCACATGTGTGTGTGTGTAATGAAATATATTTTTACAATATATGCAGACATCTCTAATAAATGATAAACACATGTAAATCATTAAAAAAAACTTTTATCACAAAATCTCAAAAAAAAGCAAGAAGAAACATTTTCATGGCATTTGCTTAGGCAATAGAAAGTAATACTGAAGTGGTAGTACACAAGATTACATCCTGTTGATGGCAGAAAATCTGACATACAAAGAAAAATAAAATAGTCCTGTCAAGTTCTGGCTTTCACAGGTTTTATGGTATAATTTACCATTTGATTAAATAATGTCACACAATGCAATTTTAATTTTATTAAATTTAATAATACATACTGATGTAATGACCAGTAACTAATTATTCATACAACAGAACTAACTTTGGAATGTAAAGNACCAATAAAATACATAAATATAGTTTTATAATTAGAATTAAGTATCAATATATATAAAAAAGAGGACAATGATGAAAAACAAAATAAAATACTTCTAAAATTTAATCTCTACACTGTAAATTAATAATATGAATTATTATTTTGAAGTCTAAAGTTTTATATCCTAATTCAAATTATTTTCAATATATAGCATTGAAATAGACTGATATGCATTTCATTCTATGATTCATTATGTCATACACCCAAACTTTATTTTTATCATCATATTCAATTAAAGCATTACACAATGTATTAGTATTTTAAAAATTTTAATATAATAAAATTTATTCACTATATTAAATACTAATATAGTTTTATTACTACGAATAATAAGATTGAATAAATTTGTGTTATCACCAAAAAAAACAATACAATCAGCACATGTTTAATAATTATTAAAATGAATAATCCATTTAATATAAGATTAATATTAATTATAACAAATCAAAAATTGTACATTCATTAATGATGATATTCCTTTATAAATTTTTTATTACATCCCAAAATAATAACAATCTGTATATGTATAAAATAGCAATTATAAGAAACTCTACTAGATCCAAACCTACAAATCTGAAAGTAGTTATATTATTATATAATATTTGATTGTTGTTTATTTAAAATATAAAAAATATCATATACAGAGTATCCACTTAAACATCTAGCCAGAGACAAAATATCTTTCCAGCATTGATTAGGTTAGGTTAGGTGGTGGATTGCAGTGGACACAAACTAGATATTACATTGCTATGACATGCATCCATTCTGCTGCTATCTGCAACCAGCACAACATGAGAGAATGCTACACAGCAATTTGAGTGGTGTAATATGATGTTAAAGTTACAACTTGATAACCTACAACTCCTTCAGCACATTTTATGGAATAAAAGGCACTTCTCAGTGTATAGCCATTACAATGTGCACCATTAGGCAAAGCATGCTCCATAATACACATGATATACATAACAATAAGTATTGATATATCTTATCTTAAATGTCTGGTTGTAATTTGGATGAGCAGCTTCTAGGTCCTATATTCATTGATAGAACTTTGAACTGTGTTCAATAACTGAATGTTCAATAACTGAATATCCTAAACACAATGATGGCTGATTGGCTTGATGACTTATCATTGGCAGGTTTGGTACTAGCACATTATGAAACTTCATTCCTAGACAGAAAAGAATCAGTGGAGAGCAGAGCAATTTAAAAACAGTTGTTTTGAAGATGTTCTCAAACAAATTAAAGCTTACTTTTTGTAAAAATTTCAGCTATGCTGTCTTTATCCTTTACAGTCAGAGATTATTTGTATATTATGTTAAGTCCTCTTAAATTGATTCTCTTTGGTTATTTTTGCAGTGGAACAAGCATGCACCAGATACATATACACTCATCCAATGCTGGAAAAAATCTCCTTTGCTTTGATAGATGTTTAAGTGGACCCCCTGTATAATATAATGTTAAAACTAAATTTACACAAAATTTTACTTAGTATTCATTTTTATTATTCTAACATATCTGAATTACAGTAATAATAAACCAATAATTTATGATTTGTTTATAAATTATTTATCATACTTGTCTACATTTCGTTTTTAAAAACTATTACATGAGATTATATACATATATTGAAAATTTTAGATTAATTCATAAATTACATATTAAAATTTACCTTTGTTAACTTTTTCTGAAGCAGACTTTATAGCTAATCTGAGTAACTTAGTTTTTTGTGTGTAATGATTAATTTCTGTTTGCTGAAATCATAAATAAAATTAAAAATTTTAATGTATTCAAAAAAATTCTTGTAAAATAATATTTTAATTAGAATTAAATTTTAGACCATTTTTGCAGTAATTAAAATAAATATTTATATACGATATAATTATTTATAAAGATCTAAAAACAATGAAAAAGTATTTTCACTTTTGCATCTAAAACCAGATCTAGAACTAAATTCCCAAAACTCCCTTAGAACAAGACAAGCACTGAAAATAAACATAAATGCATTGTAATTGGAAATAGTCATATTAGCTAAGCACCTTAAAGCAAGTTATACTTTCTACTTATTATTGCTGTTTTGTAAATGTAAAATAATTGTAAAATTATTAATTGTACAGATAATTGTAAAATAACCAGATATATAACATTTATAACTTCACCTTATCCAACACTGGAATATAATCAATTACATACCTCGAAGCCTGTTACCGGTGTGTAATTAACCTAANAGAGGACCAGATCATCTATCAAAAATTCAAGACCAATGAGACATCTGAAATTAATAGACTGTATCACTACGAGTCCAAGTGGCACCTAATGGACAGCTTGTCTCCTGGGTCAACAGGGACCACCCAAAAGGGGACTCCTTATTGCTTTTTCTCAGTGCCACCCCTTCTTTTGCTAACTTTTATCAAGGTTGCCTCATCTGTCCTACTCCTCAAAGTATTACTCTATGGGCCTACTTCTTCCCTGTAAATATAAATTGTTCTGCGCACATAAACTATTGTTCATCCTTATCTTATCCAACAGTCCCCCTTGCGGCTCATGTCCTCACCCTTCCACTTTCAAACCTCCAACTATCCCACATTTCCAACTTTTCCCTCAAATAACTCGCCCTCCTTCCTTCACCCATCTTTCTTATCTTTTAAGGCTACACCTTTTATAGCCTTTCTTCTTTCACATGTGTGTGTGTGTAATGAAATATATTTTTACAATATATGCAGACATCTCTAATAAATGATAAACACATGTAAATCATTAAAAAAAACTTTTATCACAAAATCTCAAAAAAAGCAAGAAGAAACATTTTCATGGCATTTGCTTAGGCAATAGAAAGTAATACTGAAGTGGTAGTACACAAGATTACATCCTGTTGATGGCAGAAAATCTGACATACAAAGAAAAATAAAATAGTCCTGTCAAGTTCTGGCTTTCACAGGTTTTATGGTATAATTTACCATTTGATTAAATAATGTCACACAATGCAATTTTAATTTTATTAAATTTAATAATACATACTGATGTAATGACCAGTAACTAATTATTCATACAACAGAACTAATATATATAATTATGAATATTATTTATATAAATCATA